TATAAAAATGACCACCTATAAAGTACCCCCCCAGATGTTCCGACTCTGCCCAAAATCTAATCAGCTCATTAGACGTTTGAACAAAGCTTAAGTTTGAAATTTGGTGTTTTTCCGTGTATCGGTTCATGAGTTATGCGTTATACAGACACACACACACACACACACACACACACACACACACAGACACACACACAGACACACACACACAGACACACACACAGACACACACACAGACACACACACACACACACACACACACACACACACACACACACACACACACACACACACACACACACACACACACACACACACACACAGACATCATCGCGAAAATAGTCAAAACGGATTCAGGGGACCTCAAAACGTAAAAATCCGTCGAAAACTCGAGGTCGAAAAAAATCATGATTCCTATACTTTCCTTATATCTGTATACAGATAGGAAAGTAAAAATGTAAGCAATTATTTTTCTAAAGGCTAAAAATTGGTTTTAAAACACATTTTTGCTAAACCGATTCAAATTAATAAATATTTGCCAGGCAATATGGCCGCTCGTAAACGACCAACTTTGAGCAATCTATATAACTATATATGTATCATTGACCCTGTTAATGACAACATGACAACAGGGTTGCCATATCTAAACTGTCATTACCCACTGGTAGCCATTTGGACAGGTCGTTGGAATGCCTAATTGCATGTTCACTTAAGGTCAGTCACTATTAGTGCCGCTCTTATTTTGACATCTGAGCATGCGCAGATCACTAACTTTAATAAAGATTGTGCCTGTCCTTAATAGAGAGATATTGCAAATTTCTATAAAACCAGCCACTAATAGTGACATCGTAATTAGAGTCAAATAAATTCTATAATAGTACCTAATATTAAAGAGGCATTAGAAAATATAATTTTAGAAGGTTTAAATGACGAGCGCATCCGAAAGCTATAAAGTCGCCACTACCTGCTGCCCTTAAACATCCACAATTAAGGCAGACACAATCCTTAATAAAGTCAGTTTTAGAACATAAACATCTGCGCATGCTTAGATGTCAAAATAAGAGCGGCACTAATAGTGACTGACCCTAAGTGAACTTGCAATAACTCTCTTATTATGGAAAGGCACAATCTTTAATAAAGTTAGTGATCTACGCATGCTCAGATGTCAAAATAAGAGCGGCACTAATAGTGACTGACCTTAAGTGAACTTGCAATAACTCTCTATTCAAAATTCTTGAAAAGGCTATCTATAATAGAATTTCCCTTTATATTGATGAAAACAAAATACTTTCGTATTGCCAGGTTGGTTTCCCAAGTGGCTACAATACATATGTTACACTTTGTCAAGTTACTGATGATATTGTAAGAAATGTAGACAGAAGACAAATTACAGGACTTGTTGTTTTGGACTATTCCAAAGCATTTGATACCATCAATCACAATCTACTTTGTTTCAAACTAAAATATAATATATTAATTATCATTTTAACGTTTTTTATGAATTGATTTCAATTAAAGGAATATTACATTTTGTGGTTACCGTGGCCTGGCGACCAGGTGGTGAATTACAAACTTTCAAATATCTCGAAAACGGTTAATATTTTAAAGATTAAAAAAGTATAACTTTATTATACAAAAATTACAATCTTTTCTAAATTTAATACGTAAATTGTTAATTAATGAGGGACAAAAAATTGTAAGCTCTTTTCTTCTCTCCAATATGGCGTATGTGGCGACATCTACGAGATAACTCAAATCTAATAACATAATCTTGTTTGCCCCAATAAAAAATAGAATTACCCCAATTTTCAAACCTGTATCTCAAAAAATGACTTCTTTATTAACAAAAATATATTATTTTTTCCAACTTTAGATCAGAAAGGAGCGATCTCAGACCCATTGTTGTCAAGTAAAATATTTTTATTTTTGCCTTCCGAATCTACAGTTACAATTTGACCCATTACTTATGACTCGCCCTGTATATATAATTTATTTAAATTGATATGACAGATTTAAAAAAAATATTAAATATACTTCATAATGGGTCCTATGATTGAACGTTTACGTTATCCATAACATACATGTTAGACCGAATTTTAACAGTAACGAGTCAAATTTGCATGATGGAAAACTGTTAAATTAGAAGATAACAGGCGGAAAATAACAGTAACGTGTTGGAAAAAGTTTTCCATCATACGAACTTGCCTCATTACTGTTAAAACTCGGCCTAACATGTACGTTACGGATAACGTAAACGTTCAATCATAGGACCCATTGTATATACAGGTGACCTACCCAATATATTCGTCCTACATTCCCATTATAAAAAGTGGTCTCAAGTCGAGATGATATCCTACGAACTATCAAATTGATTTTGAATAGCAATTATGGGATAGTCTAGTTAATTATGAAATGATTGAAATAGAAACATATTTCTTTTATGACAGCGATAATAATAATATAATCTACATATTACAATTTACAATTATAATTTATTTATTACACCTTTGATTAGTTGCACCTAGATGCAAACAGCTGTACTTACAACACAAATAAAATTACTAGCAGGGAAAACTTATATATATGTATATAGAGTAAAAAGTAAGCATTACAGAAATTTTGACAAACTTTTCTTATATTTCAAGGTGAAGCATTTAATATTTTTGGTCATATGGCTGTAATAAATCTTTGGTTCCCATCATATTTAAAGAACAGAATATTTAAATTTCTTTTGCTGCTACACCTGGTAAAATGAAAATGAACTTACATAATTGATGTGACATTAAGGATAGTTTCGTTATATAATAGGACTGTTGAAAATAATCTATTCTTTAATGAATTATTTTGAGAAAGTAATTCTGTATTAACATATTTTCATATAAACCACCCCATACAGTTACTTATTCCATATATTATTACTAATTAAACTAATACTTGACATATCATTATTAACAACACTTTATTCAATAAATTCCGAGTAAGATAGAATTATGTATATATTAATTGTTTAGTCAAAAAAACTATGTTTTACATGTCAATACATCTTCAAATTTAAAATATAAAAAAATACATAAGTATAGTATTTAAAATACATTAAAAATACAGTACACTTACATGTCAACTATACAAAACATAATAAAAGAACAAGAAAAAAAAACATCAATTGGTCAGCAAGTACTCAGGCAATTTTCTTTTAAATATTGCTGCATTTGAAGATCCATTTAATATCTTCAGGCAAATTATTAAAAGCCTGTACACCTTTAAAAAACACTGAATTTTGTGAACTCTAAAATTTTTCTCATTTCGTGTATAGTGTTCATGAATATCCTGATTATAAATTAAAATATTTTGTAAATATACTGGGGAGATTCCTGATTTAATAGAACAAATATTTTTAACAGGTAAACACTGAAGCACATTTAACATGGAGTTGATTGATTCCAATCTTGAACAGCTCAGTAATATCCTCATACCTCTATTCTGCAACTTTTGCAATTGTTGCAACTCACTCTGGTTAAGCAAATACAATATAGTGGCACAATAATTAAAATGAGGTAATATTAGAGTATTATAAATTATTATTTTAGCCCATTTGCTGAGATGTGAAGAACAGCACCTCAAATAATTTATTTTAAATGATATGCTTTCGATTTTGTTTGCCAAATATTGAAATTTAAGATTTTTATCTATTTTTACACCCAAATATTTAGTTGTTCCAGTTTCTTTTACGATAAAGTCAGGAGTGCCAATATGAATTTCATTAAATGTTGGTCAGTAGTTATGGAAAACACTATATTCAATGATCATTTATTCAAGTGTAACCAATTTTTGATAATAATTTTCATCCCTTTGGTAAAACTCCCTTTTTAACAGTATCCCATGTGTTGCTTTCAATCAATAAAAATGTGTCATCTGCATAAAAATTGTTACACCTTCAATATCTAAATGTAATAAATGAATTGATTTAAACAATGAACAATATCAGATCCAGGACTGTTCCCGGTGGAACTCATATTTTTACTGCAAACATTCCTTATTTTTACTAATTTTCTTTCAATTAAATAGTTTAATAGTTTTTAAAGACTCTCAACACTATTCCCCTTATTTAACGTTTTATTTCTGTAATTTTATAAGTTAAAACAGAATGAATTGCTATATGATTGTTCAGACAACAGCATGTTGTCTTTAGATACAATTTTATCAATACAGTATACAGTTGGAAATTGATACTTTCCAAAATATTATAAAAAAATGTTATTTCTAGATCTTTGCAAGGCATTTGACACAATTAATCAAAAAAATTTGATAAAGAAATAAAGGATTTTGTATTATCATGATTCCATGAATAAGTCGTTAAAAAAAGTAAAAATAAACATAATTTTGTTTCCAAAATGAGGCAATGTCTGAAAGAATTTTGATAAGCCTAGGTTGTTAAACAAAATGGCAACATAATTAATTCTTAAAATACCTACGTAAATAGGCACCTTTTTATTCTTATTTTTTTTTTAAGATAAAACTTATCATTTTGGAATTTTATTTTTCTCATTAAATATTTGTTTATTATTCCAAAAGCTAATTTTCTATAGCCTTTCTAAATAATAATAAAATAAAAATGATTATAGGAAATGCATAAATCAATCTCACAAGCTCTCTCAACATGAGAATCAGCATGCTTCGGATTCTGAGAATTGCTTATCAACAGACAATACAATAATTGTTTAGAAATGATAAAGGTGGGTCAAAAAACCCAAATTTGCGATATTAAATACGTACATTTTTTATTCAATTAGCTTCTACACACTATAAACTATCAAATATCAAATATTTTAAATCCATTCTAACAAACTAAACTCTTTTGCCAGAACAAATAATACATCATTGATGAATTCTGCGTATATTTTTAGCAAGCAAGCATAAATATATAAAAAAGAAAAAAAAATTGATTTCTTGCAAATAATAGATTTTTTTTTATATTTAAATTATCTATTTAATTGGGTACTTACTTTCAAAGTAGGATGTTCCAAACTTTTTACATCTGCCATTTTGTTGTAGGTACCACAAATAAACATAAATAATATTCTTTTTCTAATACATGACACGACCTTCGGATCAGCTGTTGAAATCTTGAAATGGTAGTAGTTAGTAGGCACGATGTATAAACGCACTAATGTCAAAAAGTAGGTCAGATAATCGATATATGAACTAATTTGGTAAAAAAATTCGAAGTGAAATATGAGAATTATGAACTGTAAAACAAAAATGTATACTCATTCAAAATGTATGAGCTACGCAATGAAATCTGTGTAGTAATTAGTGGAATTTTCAATTTTAAATTCATTTTTCTATGAAGCCATCTAGTGTTAAATAATGGAGTTTTTACAGATTCCATTGAGCAGTGAGTAGCTCTACCTATCGGTTGAAGCACGAAAAAAGTTTGTTTTATTCAGGCAACCAAATTTACATTACAGAGTAAAAAGTATTGCCGCCTATAAAAAAATCATATTTGATTGTAATCTTAGAGCATATAAGACTAGAGGTTTGTTATGTACTGAGGTGTTTAAATAACGCGCGTATTTGTGATAAATGATATTTCATTTGACGTATTGTTTTCGTTTTTAAAAAAATCGTTTTTTGTGAATTCCAAAGATAATTTGGACGACGTGTCTCTTTGATAAATTTTTTAAGTGTATTTTTATTATAAAATAAGTGCTAATCATGCCGAAAGCTTGTATATAGTTTGCAATAATAAATTCTTAAAAAGCTTCTGGTTGACGTTTCACAAGTAAGTATTCTATATTCCATAAACGTAACTTAAAATGGGAAATGGGCAAATAAATAAGAAAACATGTTCTTCATTTGAGCATCACCTCAACTGGTTGCGTTCGACAGAAAATAGTTGTTTTCTTTGCGATAATGCTTAATTTATGTCTTTTCGTATAATGTAAAATGGATTAGATATATTTTTGTATTGTTCATAATTTATTTAATATTTTAAATCTTTTTTTTTACTTATTGCTGATCTCACAACCAAACTGTCAAGTATTTCGTTTAAGCAATAATAGCATTTCTAACAACACATGTCTGTGTTCAGACCATTTTCAACTGAACATTATTATAAAAGATAGCAATAGATTAATAAAAGGATCTATACCAAAAGCTGTACCTGTACTTTGCTTTAGAAATTAGTAAGTTTTTTCCATATCCACTGTAAATAATTGTAATTCGATATTCATATATGTGGCTTTCGAAACACACTTATTTGCTTATTTTGTTAAATACTAAATACATTATTGTTTACAAGCTTAAAAATAACGACGGCAAAGAAAATATGCCCTTATCTGCAGTTCCCAACATTGGAAATGTCGAAGTTGGAAAAGAAAGATAGAAGGCCAATGAAAAGGTATGAATAGCTCTTATATTTTTAAAAACCAAACAGGTGCTGGTAATAATAGCCTTTGAAACTTTTGAAATTTAATTTAATGTATATCATTAATAAATCTGCAGAATACATTTTATGTACATTTCATTTGTAGAGACGAAAATATGCAAGACAGAACTTCAATCTTTAACTCTCTTTAGAAGACAAAAAATTGTTTAAAATTTGATAAACTCATCACCTAAAACCACAATATCTGTAAGCTCCCATTCATCTACACTAAATGCTTCTGAAAGGGAAAAAGAACTTAAAAAAGAAAAACGAAGATATATTCTCACATAATCCACATAATCCAGCATTATTATGATTTCAAGAAAGCAATGCTTAAGAGAAAAATTTAAACAGTTATTTTTTGATAAAAAATTAGCTCTTGCCCAAAAGAAGATTCTATGCAAAAAAATATAATCAAAAAACTTACGAGAAATATATTTTACAAAGTATATTGGAATCTTTAAATAGTATGATAGGATATATATAAAAAATAATTCTTTTATCAAAAGTACAGATGTAAGAATTAATTCCAGTAATTTGCATAAATGTTTTTAATGATGAGGAAACATTTTATGTTATTTTAGATCAAATTAGTTTATTTTTAGGTTACTCTTGCGAGTGGATTTAAGGAATTGGTCAAGAGAGCAATTAAAGATCATTCCAGAACAAAATAATCCCTTGAATTAAGAACATGTGCACTAACTTTAAGCTTCTACAGTATGAAGGCTTATCAAAGTGGTATTAGACTGCTGATGGTTCTCCTGGTGTCGTGTCGTCTACAATCGATAGTTATTTATTTATTAGTTATGTTATTAGTTTATACTTTGATACTATCTGATACTTGTTTCACGGATAGTGAATGTAATTTAGTAATTTGACAATATAAAAAAATAAAAAAGTCAGAATTCATAAAAAGCCTTTTATTTCCAAAAGAAGTGACGGTACAAAACACCCGGATTCACTGAAGAGCATTGAAAATTCAATCCTAAACGAACATATAGTCATTTTCAGTAAAACATGTTTACAATACAGTGTCTAGCGAAAGCTTAACATCAATAGAAAAAGAACATTGTTAAATAAATTTGTTTATTAATCATGCGAATCAATTATCTAAATTATTAGTTATTGTGAAATTACAGTGCATAAATGGTAAACATAAATACGAACCCTTTCAAACCGTACGCCATTGAGAATGGAGTACCTAGTACCTACCCCTCTCCCCTCACGCCAAAAGTGATGACCCGCTTATAATACATAACAAAATACATTGAATGATATCTCTAGTCTTATATGCTCTAAGCTTGTAATTTTTGTTCAGGCAACCAAATTTACAATAAGGCGTAAAAAGTATTGCCTATACACAGTAAATTAAATAATTCTTCCTCTTTCATTTTCCATCTTTGTTTCAATTTTTGAAAGGGATATCCTTGACATACGTCAGATTCAGTTTCATAAAGTGTTTTCTAAACTACCGAGTAAGTTTAGTAGTTATCAAGGTGGTTTTTATTTAAGACTAAAACTCGGTTTTTCCAAATGATTATTAACCAAAAATCAATGCAAATACGATAATAAGTATTTAGATTTAGTGAATAGTTTCATTCAAAAGAGCTGACAGTATCTGGATTAAAAGGTAAGGTTATATAAAAATTCATTTATAATTATTATTTATGTATACTCAAAGGTGAAGGCGCTCTTTGAATATTAAAAATGAATAAAACATGATGTTTTGAACTTAATTTTAATTCTAAATAAACGAAACACAACGCCGGATATATTTAGAAAACTGTTGAGATGTTGTGGTGAATTTTGTGATGTAATAAAAATACTAAGGTAAGATTTTTTAAATTTTATTTGACTGTTTTATGAATAATACAAAATCAAGGTACTTTTTGCAATTATAATAATTCCTTGTTTATTACAAAGAAATATCGCTGCTTCCTAATAATAGTAATAATACCTACTGGCGTTACACAATATTATGCTATATAATATTTGATTATATTTTGTATGCCTTTCTATTAAAAAAGGGAAAGTTACCTCACTCATAGGTGTGTATGTGCTCAGAGATGTGGGTCAAAATATTCTAAACTGGTATTATACACAGTTCATATATCTTGAAACCACAAGGCTATAAAAAAATTTCACTTTTTAAATATTGTTTTAATTAACTTAAAAGTGCAATTTAATGCATTATTAATTATTAGATAATTATAATATAATAAATGTAATGATCCATTAGAGGTTAACACCATACAGTTACTGAACTTTTAATTTGTTCACAATTATTAAAAAATAAAAAAGTTTTTGGATTTCATGATTAATTTTTCAAAACATATGCTTATAAAAATAAGATATTAAGGAAATCACTATTATTAGCCAGTATTATGTAAATAACCTTGCAATATAGTAGCTATAAATAAAAAAGATAATAAACATTGACTTGCATTTTATTTTACATTGAGATAACTTGACCATTTCAACATACTTTAAATTTATTTTAATTTCTTTAAGATAATGACACAAACTCAAGCGCGCCACTGGACAAGATGGTTTAAAAGTATTGCTATACTTATTTTTCAATAATATTATTCTTAGAATACATTCAAAATATTATCAAGATATGTATGATTTAATCTATAGGGAATTTATATCTGATGTTTTTATTGCTTTATCATAAGATTGTATGGAATCATTTAAATTATTTCTGGTATTAGATAATATAATGATTAGTCAAATTTAGGTATTTTTTTATGATTTGGCATTCTAAATTATTATATAAAAAAATTAAATTATTCATCTGAATACAAACGTTTGATGCAATTTACATAAGGAAACAAATCTATAACTATATCCATCGAACATATCTTAAACCAATGGCTATCCAACATACCAAAACCCCATTGTTTTAAAGAATATACAACCTCAATTCATTGGTGATCAAACTACTATATATACTATCAAAATGTTAATGGACTACAAATAAAATTGGCTGATATTTTAAATAGTATATATTGCCAATAAATGCTTTATATAAATTTAATTTTACATATACAAAATGTAAGTATTCTATGTGTTACTGAACATTGGCTTGATTCTAACAATTTACAAGCTAACTCAATTGACAATTTTAATATTTTTCACGGATAAATAAAGAAAAAGGTAGTGCTAGTATATTTATGAAAACAAGTATTGCTGCAAATTTTGAATCAATTAATTTACATAGGTGGTGTATAGAAGGTGAATTTGAAGTATGTAGTGGAAAAATAAAGATCGATTCTAAACTTTTTTTATTCATTATTACTGTGTATAAGCCACCTTGTACTAAGTTTAGCACTTTTATAAATCAGCTAGAGCTATTAATTCATAATATTTATCAAAACGACAATCACTATTTTATCTGTGGTGATATTAACTTAGATTTTTTGATTGAAGGTAATCAAAAAACTGTTTTAATTGACTTATTGAAGGAATTTAATATTAAACATCATATAAATGTTGCAACGAGAACAAGTACAACCTCAACTTGTTTAGATAATTTTTTTACCAATTTTGATGTAGCTAAGGTGGGTGTATATGATACTTTTTTGTCTGATCATAACTACTTATTATGTTCAATTAAACTACCTAATTTTGAAAATAACGAATTTAAATACAAACGAGATTTAAGTGATCCTAACGCAATAACTTTTATAAATATTTTATCAGTTGAAAATTGGCGTGAAGTATACACATCTACTAATTTTAATGATAAATTTTCTATCTTTTATGAATCATATCTATACCACTACAATCCCAGACAGCACACCCAATCCTTTGGATATCTACTGAACATCCCAATATCCACTGAATGTCCAGTCCATGGTAGATATCTATTTTATATCCATGAAATGTAATTTATAGACATGCAAATGTCCATAAATAATAGTAATTATATAGCAAATTATTAAAAAATTACGCCACTGTGCTCGCCATTGTGGCTAATAGTACCGTTCAGATATTTAAAATTATTTTTTTTTAGGTGTATTCAATATCCCATGAACATCCACTAAATATATCAAAGTCGAGGCGCGAACGCAAACCATCGTGGATATCCACTAGATGTTATTTGATTCTGCTTACTAAGTATAGATGGCGATACCACTATCGCATCTACTCATGCTCGACCCGCCGTAACTGAGTTCGATCGAAATGTGTGTCCTAACCACTCCATTAGAGACTGGAGTCGAGAATTTTCATTTATTGTTGAAGAGTCCTAATAAGGATGACTTTCTCCTTAGTGGGCAAAATCAGAGGCAGAGTGTTGAAAATATTTTTTATCTTTGCTATTTTCTTTCGACGTTATTCAATCAATAATCATTGGTTGCTTATGAATATGAACCTCTATTCTAAAGATACCCATAAAATATTTTGCTGAATATCCGAATATCTTCTATATCCTGGGATATAGACGGACATTTGGTTGGATATCCATATTGGATATATTGAATATCCACAAAATATATTCTGTGGATATCTCTGTGATTTCTTGTATTTTTTGGAAGATACCCATTAGATATTTTGCTGAATATCCATTAGGATATCTTCTATATCCTGGATATAGACGGATATTTGGATATCCATATTAGATCCACGGAATATTTCTGATATCCTGTGGATATATTGGATATCCACAAAAGATATTCTGCGGATATGTCTGGGATTTGGTGTGTTGTCTGGGATATTGTATTTACAAAAACAAAGAAAGCGTTAAAACCACAAAAATAAAAAAATTAGTTTTCACCTCATATTAAAGAGTTACATAATCTATTATGTGAAATGAACAGGTTATAGAAAGAAATAAATTTTACATATTATACAGAATGTTACAATAGTTTAAAAAAATCTGATGTGCCCAACACATGACTTTCCTATCTAGTTATTATAGGCTTTTTCCGGTTATTTTGTACAACCTATTGCAGCACCTCTATAAATGTTTAGAGGATAAACTAAATATACATTTTCCACATACATCTACCTCGAAACATTTTTCTATAGATATTCATTGAAAACGAAAATACTGAAAAATTTAAATTTAGCACTTTTCCTACAATTTTTCCATTACGGTTCATTTTAGAAAAATCATGTATAAACAAAAATTATAGAGATCGATATTGCAAATAACTTTTAGTTCAACAATTTTCATAAAAATTAGAATTTTGCACATTTTGTCAAATTTCTCGAATACGGACCATTTCAGGAAATTTTGACATTAACATAATAATATTAGAAGTAACTTTTATTTGAACAATTTTTTTCTCCAAACCTAACTAACAGATATATTCATAAAATATAAAAACGGCCTCCCATAAAGTACCCTCCCAGATGTTCCGACTCTGCCCAAAATCTAATCAGTTCATTGGACGCTAGAATAAAGCTTAAGTTTAAAATTTGGTATTTTTCTGTGTATCGGTTCATGAGTTACACACACAGACATCATCGCGAAAATAATCAAAACAGATTCAGGGGACCTCAAAACGTAAAAATCCGTCGAAAACTCGAGGTCGAAAAAAATCATGATTCCTATACTTTCCTTATATCTGTATACAGATAGGAAGGTAAAAATGCATAAATAAAAATAAAATTTCAGTGCAATTGTAAATATAAATCAAAATTGTAGAATGGTATCTCAAAAAAGTGTCTATACTGTCTACTTACATATTTTTGCATAAATAGTGAAAAATATACTTATATTTTATTCAATAATAGTTCATTAGCCCTTATATGCAAATATGTACAAAACAGTAAACAACTCAATAAACAATCTCAAACTGATATCATATACATGGATTTCTCCAAAGCCTTTGACAGACTTGATAATGATTTCACGTCTATTGAATTTTTAACTACTTTTGGTGTTTCCTTTTCTAATTCGGTCAAGAAAAATAATTGAATATCAATTAAAAATCAATAAAAATCAATAAAAATCAATAAAAAATCAATAAAAATCAATAAAAATCAATAAAAATCAATAAAAATCAATAAAAATCAATAAAAATCAATAAAAATCAATAAAAATCAATAAAAAATCAATAAAAATCAATAAAAATCAATCAATAAAAATCAATCAATAAAAATCAATAAAAATCAATAAAAATCAATAAAAATCAATAAAAATCAATAAAAATCAATAAAAATCAATAAAAATCAAATCAATAAAAATCAATAAAAATCAATAAAAATCAATAAAAATCAATAAAAATCAATAAAAATTAATAAAAATCAATAAAAATCAATAAAAATCAATAAAAATCAATAAAAATCAATAAAAATCAATAAAAATCAATAAAAATCAATAAAAATCAATAAAAATCAATAAAAATCAATAAAAATCAATAAAAATCAATAAAAATCAATAAAAATCAATAAAAATCAATAAAAATCAATAAAAATCAATAAAAATCAATAAAAATCAATAAAAATCAATAAAAATCAAGAAAAATCAAGAAAAATCAAGAAAAATCAAGAAAAATCAAGGAAAATCAAGAAAAATTGAGAAAAAATAATTAAATTCAAGAAAATTCCTATTATTTTATCTCAAGCTATGCCAGTGACTGAAAAGTCATTAATTGATGTTTTCCGACTAAACACTAT